TGTCCCTCTCTTTCTGACTCATTTCACTTAGCATGATACTTTCCATGTCTATCCACTTATAAGCAAAGTTCATGACGTCAACTCTCCTGACAGCTGCATAGGATTCCATTGTGTAGATGTACCAAAGTTTCTTTAACCAGTCATCTGTTCTAGGGCACTTGAGTTGTTTCCAGATTTTGGCTGTTGTGAATGGTGCTGCAATGAACATTTGGGCACAGGTGTCATTTCTACTGTGCTTTTTTGCATCCTCGAATTATATTCCCAGAAGTGGTATTGCGGGGCCATATGGAAGCTCAATTTCTAGTTTTTAAAGGACTGTCCATATTGTTTTCCAGAAAGGCTGGACTAGTGGGCATTCCCACCAACAATGAAAGAGTGTCCTGTTTTCCCCACATCCACACCAGCACTGGTTGCTTTTGCTCTTTTGAACATGTGCCAGTCTCTGTGGTGTGAGATGATACCTCATTGTTGTTTTGATTTGCATCTCCCTGATGGCTAACTATGTGAAGCATTTTTTCATGTGCTTTTTGGCCATTTGTATTTCTTTCTTGAGGGAACTTCTGTTCATTTCTTCTCCCCATTTTTTGATGGGGTTGGAGGCTTTTTTTCTTGTACAATTCTACTAGTGTCTTATATATCCTGGATATTAATCCCTTAGCAGATGAGTATTGGATAAATATTCTTTCAGATTCTGTGGGCCCTTTCTGTATTTTGGTCACTGTTTCCTTCGAAGTGCAGAAGCTTCTTAGTTTGATGTAGTCCCATTTGTTTATGTTTGCTTCCATTTGCATAGTCAGTGCTATTTCATCCTTAGAGATGCTTTTTAGCTTCAACTGCTTTGTAGTACAGTTTGAAGTTGGGGAGGGTGATGCCACCTATCTTCTTTTTCCCAAGGACTGCTTTAGCTGTTCGTGGGTGAATCTTGCTTTAATCACATGAGTATGTGATATTTCGGTGTAATATTTAGTGTGATAATTTAACATGTGGTACCATCAAGGTTGTATATCATCCAGAATGACTGCTGTATCTCCAGCTCTCCCTGCCATGGTGTTTGCATTTTAGTTGGTGGATGGAAGGGAAAAACGAGCAGTGTCTCTCCCACCTCTTTCAGTTTCGGGTGAAAAACTTTAATCTGAGCCATTCCATCTCAGAAGTTGATAGATATGTCAGTTCCCTCTAAAAATTTGCTAAGGTTTGTGTTTCAGATTTGCCCAGTCATTTTGAATTCCTGGGTACGGAGAATGCCCTATGCATGCACACAGGAGTTTTCTTATGACTTAATTTCTACTTTTTTTTTTTCCTGAAGGGTGGCCCATGTCTCTTGTTTGTGATCATGGATTCTTGAAAATGCCAGTCGTGGGACTGAAGCAATAGTACAGCAGGTAGGACCTTGCATGTGGCCTGGGTTCGCGATCCCCAGTATCTCAGTTGGTCTCCCAAGCTTACTAGAAGCCCTGAATATAGCAGGTTGTTCCCCCAAAAGAAAACAAATAAAAGGAACGTGTCAGCTGCATTAGAACTCTGTTGAGAAACTGTCCAGAGGATCGTATGTCAATTAAGAGAAAGTAGTTTGCCAAGTGGGTTGACCTCTGATGTTGACATTCTGACTGACCACCGTATATCAAAATAAAACTTGAAAACTGAAACTTAGAGGTAGAATTCATGAGAAAGTACAAAGAAATCATTTTAAGTCACATTAAAATATGTACATTCTCCCCACCCAGGAAGTTATAAATGTTTTGATAAATAAGTGCTGCATTTACGTTTGAAACATTGTAGTTGAATTTTTAAAAACTAAATCTGTGTCAGTGAATAGCTTTGGACCTGTGACTCCTAATGTGAACTATTTACTCTGTTACATCACTAAGACTTTAAAATAATTCTCTAGAGTTCTGGTCCTTTGTACGAAGCTTGACACAGTGAGCAAAGGGAAATTAGGACCGGGAGGTACTACTACGACAGTGATGGGTACTACTACAACTGGATGAAAACTGGGTGCTAAAAGGAAGTAAAGAGATAATGCATGATACCCTTTCCAGTAATAGTACTGTAAACCACAGTGACTAAAAAAGAAAAAGGAGAAAGTACCTGAGAGTGCCAGGAGGGAACACAGGGACATTGGTGGAAGGAAGAGGGCACCAGTGAGAGGATTGGGGCTGTTATTACAGTGCCTGAAACTTTGTAGTTCGTGTTGATTCAGTGAACTAAAAAAGAAATTCTCTGGGGTCTTTTACAAGGATTTTTTGTGTATCTGAAAAAAGTTACAGATAGAACCTTGAGAAAAGAGTTATTATGTGTAATCATTTTAAATAGGTGCAGTGAGTTCCATCTTTTGTTAATACCTAAGTGGATTTGTTTAAGTTTGTTGCAGAGCAGTCTTCCCCAATTCCTTTCAAATTTTGAAAGTCCTTGGAAAGGATCATCTTCCCTAGCTTCTAAAGCGTCTAGCTTCCCTCAGTCATTTCCTGCAGTTTCCTTTCCAAGGAGCCCACCTCCCGACCCTTGAAGCCAGTGGCCAGGGAAGAGATGGGTAGCTGGTATGTTGTAGTCTGCTATTGAGAGTTTAAATGAATTATTTTCTAGCCCTTTTAGACTTTCATATCATATTATTCCCTCGTTGCCCACCTCATTTTAAAGAATTTCTTTCCCATTCTTCTTCCCTTTTCTTACTCTGAGCAGCTGCCATAGGCTTTTGTACTTTGCATAGAAATGCAGTATTCTCTGCTACAACCATCCCATTGATTGTGTTGTTCTTTTTATATACTTCCATATATATAGTTTACTCTTACAGCCTAGCCCACTGATGTGCCTAAAGCAGCACAAACATGTTTGGTTTTTAACATACTTGCTTGTATTCTCTTCTATACGGGCTTAATCTCCTTCCCTCTTGGAGAGCCCAGCAAGCTACTGTGGTGTATTCGATATGCCAGAAACAGTAACAATAATGGGCCTCATTCCCCTGACCCTGAAAGAGCCCCCAGTATGGCAGCATTGGGAAGGATGAGTAAGGAGAGGCTGCTAAAATCTTAGGGCTGTGTCTATAGTTGCCTCTTTTGCAACTATAGACCCAATAGGAGAGAGAGAACAAAAGGGAATGCCCTGCCACAGAGGCAGGGTGGGGTGGGGGGGATGGGGGTGGGTGGGAGGGATACTGGGATCCGTAGTGGTGGGAAATGGGCACTGGTAGAGGGATGGGTATTTGATCATTGTATAATTGAAACCCAAGCACAAAAAGTTGTAAGTCTACAACTGTACCTCATGGTGTCTCACTAATAAAAAATAATTTTTTTAAAAAAAATAAAGAAAAGGGAAAAAAAAGGGGGAATGCCCTGCCACAGAGGCAGGGTGGGGCGGGGGGATACTGGGATCCGTGGTGGTGGGAAATGGGCACTGGTGGAGGGATGGGTATTTGATCATTGTATAATTGAAACCCAAGCACAAAAAGTTGTAAGTCTACAACTGTACCTCATGGTGTCTCACTAATAAAAAATAAATAAATAAATAAATAAAATAATAAAAAAATAGAGGGATGGGTACTTGATCATTGTATAACTGAAACCCAAGCACAAAAATTTGTAAGTCTATAACTGTACCTCATGGTGTTTCACTAATAAAAATAAATAAAATAAAATAAAAATAAATAAAATCTCAGGGCTGGGGCAAATGGAGGCGTTACTGGCATCCACTCGAGTAAATCGATGAACAGTGGGATAGCAGTGATACAGTTACCGTGACCAAAATGTCTAAGATTAGAATGGAATATTTACTGTGGTTTCTCTATTCAACACCAAGTTTTCTTGATTATTACATAATTTCTTTGCTAATTGTAGGACATTTTAAGCAATTTTAGTGATTTGTCTGATCATGTCTTTAAATGTAGACATTATCTGCTATCTTATCAAATACAGGTAATATTTAACTCTGCAAGTGTCACTGCCAGAGACTGACAAGTCCAGGTTTCTAGTAATATAAGATCAGTTTGCTTTTATGTGGGAGGGGCAATAATGAACCATTTAAGTGCTTCCCCAAGGCTTCCCTTCAAGACCCAAGATGGTCCTGTTATATGGATGGCAAATGTTTGTGTGAAAATATTTTGTTTTGCTGCAGGACACTGCAGATTTTGCTGGAGCCACTGGTATGGAGAGAGTGAATAAGTCATTTGGCTGGGTAAGATGGTCCTTGTATCAAAAGTTATGATTGACTTATCCCTTGGCGATTGTATGATTCAACCACAGCAAGACAGGTTGTGAAAAAATGTGGAGTTCTTTCCCTGTCTGGGGGGAAGGCCTCCTGTTTGCTTCTTTTTAAAGAAAGAGAATGGTTCTCATATGGTTCCTCGAGCCAGGAGTGATCCCTGAGCACAGAGTCAGAGTAATCCCCGAGCCAAGCTGGGTGTGACCTACAAACAAAAGAAAAAATATATATACATTAAATTGATAAATTAATTTTGTTTGGGGTTGGGGGATACATCTGGCTATGTACAAGACAAGCACCCTACCCACTGTACTATTGCTCCATTACCTGATTTTATCTTTGAATAAAGTACATTGTCTAGTGTGCATTTCTGGATCTGATATAACATTTCCTTAAATAATACATAAGTCACTGTAAATTATTTTACGGGACATCTCAAATATTCTTGGTCAGAACCAGTTACTTTTTATTTATTTATTTATTTATTTATTTATTTTTGCTTTTTGGGTCACACTCAGTGGTGCACAGAGGTTACTCCTGGCTCTGCACTCAGAAATCACCCCTGGCAGTGCTCAGGGGACCATATGGGATGCTGGGAATCGAACCCGGGTTGGCCGCGTGCAAGGCAAATGCCCTACCCACTGTGCTATTGCTTCAGCCCCAGAACCAGTTACTTTTAACACCTTTTTTGGGGGGTATTTCTTTTGAGCCCATCTCTTGAACACTTGGTAAGATCCTTCTTTTCTGTTTCAGGAACCAGTAACATTCAGGGATGTGGCTATACAGTTTACTCAGGTGGAGTGGGAATGCCTGGACACATCCCAGCGGACTTTGTACAGGAATGTTATGTTGGAGAACTATGGACACCTAGTTTCCTTAGGTGAGGAAAACTTCTCTTCAAAATTATTCATTCTCTTTCATATTCCTCTTAAAATGTATGTTTTCTGGATGTTTCTAAGTATATTAGAGGCATATTTTTTATCTTTAGAATGAATAATTGGAGGCTTCTAGATGAAAAGAAAGGTGTTTCACTGTTTTCCACCAGCAATTTATTCCATAGGATGTTAAACTTTGTCTTGGTGATAATTTTAGAAACTTAGTTAAGTATTCTGGCAAGCTACCGAGAGTATCTCGCCCGCACGGCAGAGCCTGGCAAGCTCCCCGTGAAGTATTCGATATGCCAGACACAGTAACAACAAAGTCTCCAATGGAGACGTTACTGGGCCCGCTCGAGCAAATCGATGATCAACGGGAGGGCCTTTCCTTTACTTACTTTAGTTAAGTATTAATATACAATATTTAAAATCAGATTTCCAAGGATTTTTTTTTTTTGAGTCAGTAGTACATAACTGGGCTGGAGCGATAGCACAGTGGTAGGGCATTTGCCTTGCGCATGGCCGGCTTGGCCGAGCCGGGTTCGATTCCTTCACCCCTCTCGGAGAGCCCGGCAAGCTACCGAGAGTATCTCGCCCGCATGGCAAAGCCTGGAAAGCTACCTGTGGCGTATTCAATATGCCAAACACAGTAACAATAAAGTAGAGACATTACTGGGCCTGCTCAAGCAAATCAATGAAGAATGGGAGGACAGTGCAGTACATGACAATGAGAAACTGAAAATTTGAACATTTTAAATGTTGATTAACAGTGTAATGATGCTCTAAAATTAAACTAATTTGGTTAATAGTTATAAAGTTATTTGTAATATATGCTCCACCATACTGGATGCGACTTTTGAGGTTCTCAAAATAAAATATTCCATTTTTCTATAAACAGGTCTTATTATATCAAAACCAAACCTGATCGTCTTGTTGGAACAAAATCAGGAACCCTGGGACATGAGGAAGAAGAGAAACATAGCCCGATGTTCAGGTAGGTGTGTCTGAGTCCATTTGAACACAGGCAAGAGTCCCACGGATCAACAGAAAACTAACCTCTAAAGCATGGTCTAGGATCTCGAAATCAGTAGATCCTGTTCTTAAGGTGTTTAAAGTTTATCTTGGAGTTCTTCAGTCCCTTTCATCTAAGGAATTTCTCATCAGTACTTCCCTCATCCTTCCATCATCTAAAGAATTATTGTCCCAGTAGTCTTCTATCAGATCAAAATAGAGTGAAAGTTTTCTCTTAGACTGGTTTTCTTCATGATTTATCTGCTCTTCCTTTGTATTTTAAGCCTGAGAAAAATCTCTAAGTTTTATAGAACTTGATATTAGGATATTTTTAATTCTGTACTTGAATCACATCAGAAATGTGTGAAGGGAGTGATGGGAGATTCAGAGACTTGCTGTGGAAATTTATGAAACATCAATGATGTCAAGTGTTCACTTAGTAATGATTTTCAATTCTAGTTAAACATTATTTATTTATTTTGTGCTTTTGGGCCACGTCTGGTAGTGCTCAGGACTAGCTCTGAGCTCAGAAATTACCCCTGGCAGTGCTCAGAGGACCATATACGAATTTTTTTCTGGGTCTGGAGCGATAGTACACCGGGTAGGGCATTTGCCTTGCACACAGCCAACCTGGGTTCGATTCCTAGCATCCCATATGGTTCCCCGAGCAGTGCCAGGAGCAGTTCCTGAGTGCAAAGCCAGGAGTAAGCCCTGTGCATCACCGGGTGTGACCCAAAAACAAAAACAAAAAAAAAATTTTTTTCCTGTATGAGTTATTTAAAAAATACATATTATAAAATTAACCAAAAAATTCCATTTAATGTGCATTCTAATAGTTTTAATTATATATGTGTTTGTATATTTCTGTTCAGTTGACCTCTTGACTATTTTTTCTCATGCTGAAACTAAGCCACTGCTTCATTTCCCTCTAACTGGATTTTATTTTAGCTTAATCTCATGGCAACTACTACCATTCTAATTTATTGGGTAAATTTGACTGTTATGGATGACTGATGTTATTGGTATGAAACAGTAACATTTTGCAAATAATTTATTGTCATGTGACACTTTACAATTTTTTGTTATTGTGTCTGGGCTACACCTGGCAATACTCAGGGGTTCCTCCTGACTCTGCACTCAGGAATCATTCCTGGCTGTGCGCAGGGAACCATGTGGAGTCCTGAGGATTCGTGGTTGACGGCACGTAAGCCAATTGCCCTACCTCTGTACTATCTTTCTGGCCTCTAATTTGTTAAAGCCAAATAACAACTTGCTGTATACATGTGTGCACAGCATTTTCTTTTTCCTCTTTTTGATTGCATGTACATTTAGATTATTTATTACTTGTTTTACTGAATAAGTATGATAACTAAATAACATGCAGTTATCTCTCCCTGATAGTCTTTTCTTCTTTTCTGTTTTTTTTTTTGCTTTTTTTTTTTTGCTTTTTGGGTCACACCCAACAATGCACAGGGGTTACTCCTGGCTGATGCACTCAGGAATTACTCCTGGCGGTGCTCAGGGGACCATCTGGGATGCTGAAATCGAATCCAGGTCTGCCACATGCAAGGCAAATGCTCTACCCACTGTGCTATTGCTCCAGGCACCTGGTAGTCTTTTTATTTTTTTTTCATCCTCAATGGGATGAAGGATCACAGGATGATTCTGTTTTTGAGGAATTTACATAATTCTTTTTATTGTGATCCCACCATTTAATATTCCATTCCAAAGGACATAAGGGATACTATTTCACATATTTTTAAATAGTGATAACTCTTTATTTCTTATAGTTTTTATCTTAATGGGTACGTGAAGATGCCTAGTTCTGATACTGATATGTACCTTATTAATGAGGAATTATTTTGAGCATTTTTATATTATTACTGATTTTTTACTCTCTTAGTTTTACTAATTTTTCAGTATATTCAAATTGTTTTGTTTTGAGTGGGCCACACCTGACTGTGCTCAGGGATTACTCCTGGTTCTGTGCTCAGGGATTACTCCTGATGGACCATATGGGTTGTGGGGATCAAGCCTTGTGCAAGACAAGCCTCTTACCTACTGAACTTTCTAACCAAAAGTTCCATTTTGAAGGGGGCCACACACAATGATGCTCAGGGGTTATGCCTGAGTCTGCTTAGGAGCAACTCCTGACAAGCTCAAGGACCATATGGAGTACTGGGGATCAAACCCAGGTTGGCTCCATGGGAGGCAAGCACCCCTGCCCACTGTACTATCTCTCCAGACCTGCAAATTGTTTTTTCAATCTAGTTATAAAATCCTTGCATGAGAAATGCTTTGAAATAAGGTTCTACATTGTATAGTTTCATTGCAGAAGTCATCTATTAGTAGCTATTCTTTTGAAATTATTGTAAGTGTAATCTTATTAAAATTTTGTTTTAAAATTAATTTATTAATGTGTTCCTCTTAGCTAAAAGCAAGGCATGTTTTTGTGGATTTTTGTATTCTGCAACTCTATTATTTGAATCTTAACTAATTTTGTCATTTCAACCTTTTGAAATGTAAATTTCCTTAGGGTTACAATTATATAAATGTATCATATTTTTTTGTGACACAAGATGATTTTGTAGGACCAGGGAGATAGTACAGAGTTTGGGTACATGTTACGTGCCAAACCCTGGTTTAGTCCTCACACCACAAAGTCTTTGAGGCATTTCTGGCTTTACACCTGGAGTCTCTGCACTGCCATTAGCATTATAACTGTTTGTATGTAAAATGGAGTCTTTGGTATGTAAAACTCATGTTGATGAAACAGGATGTTGCAGGCTACTAAAAAATTTAGATCACTTAAACACAAAAGCAAAACAAATGATTTAAAAACAAATAAAAATATAAAAAAGTTCTTAAAAATGATTTATGTAAGTCACTCAAAAATTCAGATCATTTGAACACAAAAGCTATAGTTACTTTTTTGTCCTGGAGTACCATGAGTTAGAAATTTTCTTATGGGGCTGGAGTACTTGCCTTGCATGCGGTAGATCCAGGTTCAATCCCCTGTACCCATTATGGTTCCCTGAGTCTTCAGGAGTGATCTCTGAGTTCAGAGAGAGCCAGGAGTAATCCCTGAGCACTACCAGGTGTGGCCCCCTAAAAGAGGAAAGAAATTTTCTTTATGATTTTCCATCGTGATACAGAGAAGGCAGAGGAAGAGGAAATACAATGGAGAAATAGAACAATTTTTAAATTTTTTTAAATTCAAGTGTGACAGTCATTTATTTTGTACTTTCATAGTTACTGTGGTTTTCCAGAGAGGTTCTGCTAATACCTGGAAAATGTCTCACTAATACTGTTCCTGTAAATTGCTAACAATCCTATAGGCATGAAATTTAGTGGTTCCTGTTGCCATATTACTGCCATCCAATATTTACTATTCATTTTTTGTATGAGAATTTTAAACATACTTAATTCAGTGTTATAAAGTAGATCATTTCATTTCTGATTTTTTTTAAGATACTTCAGCTCATGGCACCCAGATCTTGTCAAAGCCAGGCACAGGTGATTCACTCCCAGAAGTGCAATTCAGAAGATATGGAAGATGCTCCCTTGAGAATCTGCATGTAGAGAGAGAATGGAAATACGTATGGGAGTCTGAATTGCAGAACGGTTCTCATAATGGACATAACCAAAGTGGGAAAATTAGCAATAATAAAGACTTTGCAGCCAAAAGAGATCAAGTATATCATGCATTATGCGAAGAGTTTAATGTAAATTCAGTTAGTTTTATAGAAAAAGTTACTCCTGTAAGAAAAAAGCCATGTGAATCTTTAAAACATCCAAATTGTTTGAAAGAAAGTTTGGGACATCTGGAATGTCAGTCGGTACATTCTGTACATAGTCATTTAAATCATTACCCAGATGGGACGGTGTTAAACGTCCATTATAATGTTTCTGAAAATCAGAATTTTAAAAAGAAAGATGAAAGGTCTGTTTGTGTTCAAATTGAGAACTCTTCAGAATATCAGAGACGTAATGGGAAAAAGCCATGTGACGAATATGGTAAAACCTTTAATGTGTATTCACATCTTACTGAACATCAGAAAATGTATTCTGGTGAGAAACCTTACAAATGTGAGGAATGTGGCAAGACTTTTAATTGGAATTCACATCTTACTGTACATCAGAGAATTCATTCTGGTGAGAAACCTTTCAAGTGTGAGGAATGTGGCAAAGCCTTTAACAATATTTCATCTCTTACTGTACATCGAAGAATTCATTCTGGTGAGAGATCATATGAATGTAAAGAATGTGGCAAGGCCTTTAATTCAAAATCACATCTTACTGTACATCAGAGACTTCATTCTGGTGAAAAACCTTACAAATGTGAAGAATGTAGCAAAGCCTTTTATAGGCATTTTCATCTTACTGTCCATAAGAGAATTCATTCTGGGGAGAGACCTTATAAGTGTGAAGAATGTGGCAAAGGGTTTTATGTGAATTCATGTCTGACTCAGCATCAGAAAATTCATTCTGGTGAGAAACCGTACAAATGTGAAGAATGTGGCAAGGCCTTTAGTCGGAATTCGCATCTTATTGTTCATCAGAGAATTCATTCTGGGGAGAGACCTTACAAATGTGAAGAATGTGGCAAAGGGTTTTATGCGAATTCGAATCTTACCGTACATCAGAGAATTCATTCTGGTGAGAAACCTTTTAAATGTGAGGAATGTGGCAAAGGGTTTTATGTACATTCCTGTCTTACCCACCACCAGAAAATTCATTCTGGTGAAAAACCTTACAAATGTGAAGAATGTGGCAAGGCTTTCAATTCGAAATCACATCTTACTGTACATGAAAGAATTCATTCCGGTGAGAAGCCTTACAAATGTGAAAAATGTGGCAAGGACTTCAGTCGGAATTCACAACTTAGTCGACATCAGAGAATTCATTCTGGTGAGAAGCCATACAAATGTGAAGAGTGTGGCAAGATATTTATTCAGTATTCACAGCTTACCAAACATCAGAAAATTCATTATGGTAAGTAACTTTAAAACTCTGAAGAATGTAGCAAGTCTTTATATATTTCTCCATCCCTTTCAACTTTCACATAACTAACTCATTAAACAGAAATGTACAAATAAAAACGAATGTGATTTTTTTAAAAAATAAAAACAGCTTTTACCAGAACCTTCTTGTACATGCTGAAAGATAATCTTTAAAAAATGAATGTGCAGACACACCCACATCTCACAGTCTCCGCCATGTAAATGCTAACTTCACAAATAATCTCAGAGATACCAAGCCGATGAAACTCCCAATCTTCAGGCTGAAATCTTGGGCTTTTAGGAGAAGGGCAGGCTGAGAACTAACTGTCCCAGTTGTGCATATACCATTGCATAACACTTCTGTCTTATAGGAGCACACCCAGTTGGATGGGAAAGTAGCATAGAAAGCAACTAAGCTAAAAAAAAATCAGGAATTACTCCTGGCAGTGCTGGGGGACCAAACCTGATGCCAGAGATCAAACCTAGGTCAGCTGCATGCACACTTAATACCCTACCTACTGTATTGTCAACCCGATCCCTACTGGACTACATTTTAATAGTTCTGCTTATAATTTTGTGGCACAAGCAATATAAAATTATTTTGTGTCTGCTAAGAGGGTAGGTTTGGTGGGGTGGGTTGGAACCTGGGGACAACAGTGGAGGAAAGGTCACTCTTGTAGAATTGGTGCTGGGACATTGAATTTCTGAAACAACTATATGAACAACTTTGTAAACCATGCTGTTTAAATAAAGTTGGGAGTTTGGCAGGGGGGAATGGGCTGGAGCAACAGTCCAGTAGGTAGGGCGCTTCTTTGCACATGGTGACCCTAGCTCCCACATATGGTGCCCCTGAGCACTGCTGAGTGTGGCGCAGAATACAAAAAAATGCAGGATTGTACAGAATAAGCATACTGTCATGAAAATGTTATTCCTGGTACTGTAAAAATTTTAAGATGTAAAAAATGTGAGGAAGTATTTTATTCAAAATTAAATGTAAATGATCAGAAAAAATCTATTAGAGTAAAGCAGGAAAGAACTATTTAAATCAGATGATTTCTAAAATCAGAATGTTTTACAGAATGCCACCAAAAGCTTAAACTTAAAATAAGTTTTAATCTATTTTATCTATAAAATTAGTCTTGGACAGCATTTTTTTTAACTTTTTGAGTTTCTGTAATATCCATCAGCAGTGTGCCCACCCTCCCCCAAAGGTTTCAGTGTCACTTCCTTTCGGACAAACTCCCCAAAAATTCAGTGGTGTTAGTCACTTCTTCTATTGTGATGCCTTTGCCCTTTTGTTGGTACTTTGCTTTGTATCTGTAAGTCCCACATTTGAGAGGGCTTTTCTTTATGTGTCCTTCTCCTTCTGACTGACTTCACTCACCGTGATATTCTTAGTTCTGTCTGTGTCATTGCAAATTGCGTGGTTTTGTTCTTAGAACTGCATAGTATCCCATTGTGTATGTGCCACAACTTATTGATCCATCCATCCATAATTGGCCATTTGGGTTATTTCTATATCTTGGCTAGTGTACTAAATGCTGTGACGAGAGTAAGTCTGCATATATCCTTTTGAATCAATGTTTCTGCTTGGGGTGTGGGGGTGTAGATGCCAAGAAGAGGTATCACTGGGTCTTCTGGGAGTTCTATTTCTGTTCACTATTATTATTTTCAGTGTATAATTTTAAAACAATGCTTGTTGAGTTTTTGAATGAGAATGAATGCAGTTCAACTCAGATTTTTTTTATACCGTGTACTCATTTATTTGTGTGGGAAAGTATTGGTTAATTGTTACCATTTCAAATTTGAGAGATGCACTTTTTGATTAGGTGACATTAATTCCTAACTAACGTTCCATGATGAACTAATGGTATTGTAAAGTACACCATCAAAAACTCTTAAGTGGAGATGTTATTTATAGTAGATTTATAATGGTGCTGTTAATAACCAAGAAATCAGTGTTTAGAGTATCAGTCTTTGTATTAATGTAAGACAGCATTTTAAATAGCTTTGCCACTTGTTCAGTAAGAAAAAGTATGTTGCATAGAAATAAAAATCTGGTATTTTTATAATGTAAAAGAAATCTTGAATAATATTTGACTTGATTTTTTTTATTTTTATACAAGGTACAAAAATAAAGGTGTGACTATCAGATTATTCTAGATGAACTGGAATTTTGTTGAATGACTAGAAGATTTATTTTGTTTAGGTTTTATACTATTTTTCCTATTTTATATAGCACTGTAGCGCTGTCCTCCCGTTGTTCATTAATTTGCTCAAGTGGACCCAGTAACATCTCCATTGTGAGATTTGTTGTTACTATGTTTGGCATATCGAATATGTCATAAGTACTTTGCCAGGCTTTGCCATGTGGGCGAGATACTCTCGGTAGCTTGCCAGGCGCTCAGAGAGGGGCGGAGGAATATAGGTATTATGTAAATTCAGTAATCTTCATTATTGCTACTACTTATGAACAACATATCCCACAAAATTCCAGGGAACTTGGTGCAGTTACATTACTAATAATCATTTCTCCACTTGTACTAACCTTCAAAAGATTAGTGATTTTTTCCCTCCATTGTATTCCTCTTTTTTCCTTATTCCACTTTATGACAAGTAATATATTATGATAGTTTTAAAGTTTACGTAGGATCAGTCATGCTTTATGAAGGCTCTTTAAAAGATTATGTAGGATCATAGCCAAATTTTTAAGCTGTGCCACATGCCTGCCTTGGAATCCATATTGTAGAGGATTTTCATTTGTGCAGTTTAGGCACTGAATTGATGCAGAAATCCTGCTAGTGCATTCCCTACATAAAGCTCTGCATAGTCAACAAAAGGAAAATGTTGGTATTATTTCCATATGTTGATTCCCAGGAGTCCGTCTGAGGAACAAGTTCTCCAGTGTCTGGACCCTGATAAGACCCCAGTAGAGGCTAACAAAATTTGAACTGACCAATGCAGACTTACTCCAGGATGCCAGAGCAGTTAAAGTATAGTAGTAATACACTGACACACACACCTTTGTTTCTGCCATTTACCTGCACTCTGTCTTCACTTCCCCTTGTTCCTCTGTTAACATGTATATACTTTCGACACAACCTGAGTGTTTTTACTTTTCTGCCTCATTTTCCTTTGTGTTAGGTCACCAATTTTGTGGTTGCCCTTTCAATGTCCAAATTTAACAGATGGTATTATAACAATCTTACAAGGATAGTTAGAATTCCTCCAGAATTTTAAACCATTGCCTATAAAAGTGTACTTTCTTAATCTTTGCACATATTGTCAAAATCTATAAAACACAGAATATCAAAACATTGATAATTATTGAATCAATTTATAATTATATTAAGATAAACAATATGGGCCATTTGATGAAGAAAGTGTGTATTCAATAGTTGAATCACTTAATCACTTAACTTCCCATCAATCGTCGATTTGCTCGAGCAGGCGCCAGTAATGTCTCCATTTGTCCCTGTTGCATGCTAGTGTAGCCCAATGGCGTCTGTTCGCTCTAGGAATATGAAGAGCCTCAAACCGATCGTTCATGGTCTTGATGAAGAAGTCTGACCATCTGGTAGGTGGGCAGCCACGCGGTCTTTTGACATTCCGTGGAATCCAGTCGGTAACAGCTCTAGTCCAGAGGTCGTCTTTAAATCTCATTACGTGACCAGCCCATCTGATTTTTGACACCTTGGCAAACGAGAGAGCGTCCCTGATTCTTGATTGTCAACGGATGTCGGAACTCCGGATTCTTTCTCTCATTTGAGTGAAATGTGATATTCAAGCATAGCTCTTTCAGTTCCTCTTTGGGAGACCCGAATAGCGTTCTCATCCTGTTTGCGTAGGGCCCAGGTCTCTGAGGCATATATTAATGCAATAAGAACAGTGGAATCAAAGAGATGTACCCGGAGCTGGAGGTTCTTCGTCCTCTTAGCTATTTCTTCGACGCTCTTGAAGGCGTTCCAAGCTGCTCTCTTCCTCCTGCGCAGCTCGGGTGCCAGGTCATTTGTCATGTTGACTTCTCGACCTAGGTACACATAGCTGTTGCATTCAGAGATGGTTGTTCCATTGAGAGAGAGTGGGGCATCAGGAACGAGGCTGTTTCTCATAAACATTGTCTTCGTAAGATTCAGCTGTAGTCCGACCTTTCCACATTCACAGTCGAAGTCGGCCAGCATTTGTGCCACTTGGCTGATGTTTGGTGTTACTAAAACAATGTCATCAGCAAAGCAGAGGTGGTGTAGTTGCCGACCATCTATCTTCACTCCCATTCCTTCCCATTCCAGTCGTCGCATGATGTTCTCGAGGGTGGCACTGAAGAGTTTCAGTGAAATGGTATCACCCTGTCAAACCCCTCTCTTGACATCGATGATTACTTCTTTGTAGAATGGTGAGATCCTGGTAGTGAATCCCCAATACAACTCACGGAGGATCTTGATGTATTGAGCTTGAATGCCCTGATTGACTAGGGCTTCAATGACCGCTTCCATCTCAACAGAATCAAAGGCCTTCTTTAAATCAATGAAAGTTAGACAGAGCGGCTTCTTGAACTCCCGAGAAACCTCAATGAGCTTGGTTATCGTGTGGATATGGTTTTTCAGTAGTTGAAAAACTATATAAAAATGTCATTTCAAAACTGTTGATTATTTGACATGCATTTATTTCACCATGAAAGCTAGTTTTATGTGGTCCCATTTATTTTTTGTTGTTGTTGTCTTTGCCAAGTGGAGTATAAAAACTTGAAAAGAAAACCAAAAAAACAGAAAAAATAAGTTATTATATTGCTAATTTGATACAAACAAATTTGTGATTTGAAAGAATAGATGCTAATATTCATCTCATTTATTTCTCCTAAATCTCATCATTCTTGCAAATTTACACATGCAAATATTATTTATGACCTGTTACTCATATAAGATGTCACTGTACACTTGGAGAAATGAGAATGTAGCTCGCTGTAGTGCAGACATGGACACCGTAGTGCCTTCAGTCAAGAG